ACTTTGGTGTATAGAATTTCATGGTGAAGACTCGTAGTGAATTGAGTAAATGAAGGAAATGAGAAGGCTTACGATAGTGAATGATACCTATCGGAAGATATCGTAAGAGTGGTATCTTGCCTTTAGAGTACGCCAGGAAAAATAACAGGACGTTTAGAGGAGTACGGTACGTCCGAAGTACACCTTCGATTGGCAGGATGATGAAACGATTGGCTCAATAAATTATAGAGAAAACTTGATTCTTGTGATTTTGGTAAAGGTTATTGATGTCACCTTGAGAATTTTTGCAACATGTTTCAAAGACTTTTGAATCAATATCTTTTTGTCCCTATGAATATATGATGTTAAGTGCTGAATTTAATTTTTTTCTATATTTTTAGTGAGGAACAAGTCATTTGAACATGCAATACAAAACTAGTATTCACAAAAAAGATGTTGTTTGAGCAACAGTTTTGTAATAATTGCTAAAAATCGAAATATTGGAATTTTCCAGTGAGGTCAGATGGGTTTGAAAGCTAACTCGTAATATTATATTTCAGAAAAAGAATCTCGAATTTTGTTTAAGAAATGAGTGAGATATGGCAGTTCAAAGTCAGGTAAAGAAATTTGGGAGATTGCATGCTTGCTAATAGGTTGGAAAAGTGAACTTTATTCATTACTTTGAGAAAATACTTTAAAATATTTAATAAAATCATGATCCATACATGTTATGGTCATGTTTCCAGAGATCAAATATATTTAAAAAACATAATTTTTACATGCATTAAAATACAAAAATCTTATTTCTCAAGAACTCTTAAAAATGAGTTTTATGTTGTTTATAAGGACTCATTTGACCCAAACATTTGAGTTTGAGTTTTAGCATATGAAATATGAATTAATGAACATGCTGAAGTTAAAAATAAGTTCTTGATGGTTTAGAAATGATTTAGGTACAAAAGACTCAAAATCTCAAGAAAGTGTGAAAATCACCATTGATGATGGTTTAGAGCTTGCATGTGTTCATCTTTGGTCTCAAATTTGGTTTGATCATGGATTATCACTATTTTCATAACATGCAACATATTTATAGTGATAATCTACAAACATCAAGATTAAAGACAAGAAAGGATCATAAAATCCGAAAATAAAAGATGAAAATAACAAGGAAACTTGTATAAATTGTTATGGATCTTCAAAAGATGTAAGCTCTTGCCTTTTTCTTTGTTATGTAACTTCAATAACACCCAAATATCTCCTGAATTTCGTGGGGTTGGAGGCTGGTTTTTAGAGAGGGAGAGTGTGGGGTTTTAGAGAGAAGAAAAGAGAGATTTCATCTCTCTGGATACCCAATCTCTCTCGTCATCTCTTTGGGATTTCTCTCCACCAAAATACAGAGATGAATGTAGACTCATGAATTATCGACTGGAAAAATCTCTCCCACAGATTATTCATCTAAGTTCGGATTTGGTAGGGAGAAGGAGAGAGAAGTTATTAGAGAGAAAAAATAAAGATGTAGAGTATGAGAGACGAAGTAATTAAGTGGAAATATGGGTTTTCAAGTCAGAGAGAGAGAGAGAGAGAGAGAGAGAGGTGGCTGGATTTGTGGGGTATAATGTCCTCTCTCCCTTTTATTTTTATAAAAATTCAATCTCCTATAATTATATGTAATTTGTTTTTATAAAATATGCATCATAACTTAGTTTTCATTCATAAAACCTTGATTTTTGGCTTATAAATTAAGGGTAAATGTTAATGACTTAAAATTTTGTTTTCCTTGATTATATTTCTCTGAATTTAATTATTTTAAATTGATATTGTAAGGTTCATATAATTTTTGAGGTTAAAGTTTATAAAATTGGGTATTTAGGGTTTTTAGGGTTTTTCGGATTTTGCTAAACTTTGAATATCAGAATAAATTGATTCTTTGAGACTTAAAATTATTTTTGTGTTTCCTAACTCTTATTTAATTTAAAAATAACATTTCTAATTTGTTTTTATCGGTTTATTGGCAATTCCATGTAGTGGTTCCAAGATTCAAGTGAAGTTGATGAATCAAGTATACTAGTCATAGTTTCAACTTTGACTTAAGTTCCTATGAGACTCCGACCTAATTTCCACTACTAGGTCAAGTGCATGATGAGTGTATATGATTCATTAAAAGGTGTTCAAGTCAAATAATGACCCGAATATAGATATTCATTATAGTTAAGTAGTGGTAGAATTCATATATCAATGTGAAATCCAAGTACATTGTCCTTCAATTCTACTCATTTCCAAGTCTCTAGTAGGTTATAACTTAGCTTCTAGTTATAAAGTCTAGAATGTGTCGTGCCTACATGTGCAACTAAGTTTATCAAATCTAGAACCGACTTGAATTTTGATGATTTTCACACATAGGTACGCACGACGTACTCACATAACTTCTCTTTTCACATTAAGAGCTTAATATTGCGAATTAATGCGTCTAATTGCAGATCTAAGACCAAAATATCACTAAGAGTCATAAAGTCTCTAACTTTATGACTTTGCATGTCCAATAAGTTCTTAGTACATAAAAAATCCACATCTTATGCATTAAGACCTTCTAAAGAATGCATGGAGCAAAACCAACCATCAAGACCACATTTTTATGACTTAAGACCCTTCCTAGGGTCGAAAGGATGACTTACTGGGTCAAGAACATGCCATGATCAAGAATCACCATTTTGGGATAAAAAGTAACTTAATGGAATGAAATGTCTAGATCTGCAAGATGGAGTGATAAAGTTGCAAGCTTTATACCTCCTGGAGGTTGCAAATAAGGAGGGAATCTCAGATCCAAAATGCTTCCAAGCTCCAAACTCTTCTCACCACCTTCTTCTTCTTCAAACACACATCCAAAACACTCCTATGGGCTCAAAAATGGACTTTTCTCACTTAGGGTTGCTTGAACACGTTTTTTATAGAGCGAGGCTACTGAGGATATGAGGCATGAAGTTATAATGGTGTTTATATATAGCTAGAGCCCTAAAAATTAGGGTTTAGACATCCTGCGCGTATGCCCTGTATACGATATGTGCGCCCAACGTACTAGGGTCCGCCCTAGTACGCTCAACATACACATCGTACGCCCAGCATACTAACTTCAAGTCCAAAATTACCACAATGCTACTATGGGCCAATCTTGCAATCTTTTCAACTTCATGGGGGCCAAAATGCAATATTATTCAAATATAGGGTCAAAATTAGAAGTACCTCATCATTGGAATGTTACACCTATTCAGACCGAGTTTCAAACTACATATATATATATATACAAAGGCATTAGGAGATGATCATTTTAAATTTATATGCAACAAGTTGGGTGTTCGTGATCTTCACATTCCAACTTGAGAGGGAGTGTTGAGATACTTCTGATTTCTTCTTATTTTTGTTTCCTTATTTACCAAGTATTCTTGCTCCATATGTAATGTATTTAGCAACTAATTAGGAGTCTTATGTCTTTCCTTTTTCTAGTAATATTCTTGGCTATATATAGCATGATGTGTTTATGTTTTTATCAATAAGAAAGGAAACAGTTTTCATTCAAATTTTATAATGTTAAGCTTGCATGATTTCTTATATGAGTTCATAGCCTCATAAAAATCCATTTACAAATACAAAAAATGTGATAACTTAGATCTGTTGAATTTTATTCATGAACGATACTTTGAATACAAGATGTAACACATGATACAAATTAATGATCTTTTCATCTCTTTTGGTCAAATTTCTAAAGATCAAGCCTTTCTCAAAGTGCTAAAATTTATTGGAGTCACAAATTTCGGATCTTCACCAAAGACCAACTCACGAGCCGCCAGTTTGACTGCCGCCTGAGAAGGGTGATATGCATCCCAGAACAAGTATTCATCCCTATTTGGACAAAGGTAGCCTCCTTTTTTGCAGTCACTTATTCCTTGTTGTGTGTGATTCCCACAACATGCTGTTTTAACATCTTTGAACCCTAGAAAACAAGCTACTTTAGAATCCAAATATTTAAGCATTTGCATGCAAATAAAAACTTAAGGCCTAGTTGTTGGTATGATGGAGTGAAATCAAAATGATAAGGAATGAACAAAACTTAGGCTTTAGTTGATATGATGAAGTGGAATCACAATGGAAAGGAATGGACGATGTAATGAAATGAGTAAAGTAATTGAATAGATCATAGGCCTAAAGGAATGAAATGAGTAAAGTAATTGAATAGATCATAGGCCTAAAGGAATGGAATGAACTATTAAAATATATGGTTTGTTATGCACAATTTTAGAAAAAACGGATCGATAAATTAAAGAAATAAATCTTATTTTATGAAAATAAAATGTAATCAAAGAAAAATATAAATCTAAATAAATTGCATATAAACAAATCTTATGCTCGTTTGATATATTATTTGTGCTTTAAATAGTAAAAGAGTTTATTTATCACTTTAAAAATTGTTTACAAAAGAAAAAAAGTTAAATAGCATGAAATTTTGAAACACATCTATAATAAAAATATAACAAAAAACAATTTAATAGAAGCCTTGAAATTTTCTATATATATTATTGTTATTGAAGATTATATATAGAAAAAACATCATAAATGGTCCCTGTGGTTTCTCAAAATCTGAAGTTTAGTCCCCGTGGTTTAAAAACCTCATAGATGGTCCCTGTGTTTTCAAAACTTTTGACGATTGGTCCTTATTGCTAACTTCGTTAAGTTTTGTCCGTTAACTGAAGGGCATTTTCGTCATTTCACTACCACAAGGACCATTTATGATGTTTTTTTTAAAAAAAAGTAAATATAATTATTTAATATATAAACTCTCTCTCTCTCTCTCTCTCTCTCTCTCTCTCTCCTCAAAGAGCGTGGCTGTTGGGTACTTCCCTTTCAATTGTTTCCCTTAAAAACCCAAACCACCATACGCCCCTCCCATTTGCTTCCTTTTGGCATTCAATCGATCTCCGACACAGAGAACCCTTCCTTTTTTCTTCTTTATCTTCATCAATTGTATAGCTTCACCATTGATTTCCTGAGAAAAAAATGGATGCTGCTTCAACGCTAATCACATTCCAAGATTCGTAGGTATCCACATTGACGCCACCTTGAAACAACCAGCGATCGGGGAGTTTGTCTCCAACGAAGATGGTGGTGGTGATTTTGGGGGTGGTGGAGTATCTTATGATGTGATGTGATGTAACAGGTAGGCGAGGCAGAGGTTTTGTCATTTGATGCGGAGGGGAGAGATGGAGGAAGAACAGGGGAGAGAATGAGGTTTTAGATGAGAAATACGCTGAAGAATTCAGTCTACAAAACCCCTTTCGTTTTCTTCAAATGGGTTCATTGCCTACTGTGCCCTCAATTTGTTGGGTTTCAAAATGAAAAATATGTTATGCTGGTTATAAAATCAAAATCCCAGGAATGCAATGGTAATATATCTTAATATGTTTTCTTCAAATGGGTTCTATACATGTTTATCTATTTGTTGAATTGGATGTCTCTAGAAAGAAAATTGGAAGTGTATGCTTCCAATGGTGATAAATCTTAATAAATAAATCAGAGAATGAAGGAGGAGAACAATGCACTCCAAGTGCTCGATGAAACACCTGAAAGAAAAGTACCTTCACAAAACTGAAAGTGTCTAATTTCACACCTGATGCATTCAAAGTTGAAAGAAAACATCAGACCCAGTAGCTCACGAATTAGGTAACACCACCCATTTCAAGTTATTATGCAGTAGAGAGGAGAAATCAAGATACCTCCTCCAATATAAACACAAACACATGTAGCAGAAAATAGAAATCGAGTTCCTTCGATCATCAAATATTTTACCAGCATGAAACATGAAAGAAGGCTCGCAAGGGTGGGATTGGAGGAGTAATCTCATTGTGTTTTTAGGAAGAACACGATGAGAGAGAGAGGGAGAGAGAGTTTATATATTAAATAATTATATTTACTTTTTCTTTAAAAAAAACATCATAAATGGTCCCTGTGGTAGTGAAATGACGAAAATGCCCTTCAGTTAACAGACAAAACTTAACGAAGTTAGCAATAAGGACCAATCGTCAAAAGTTTTGAAAACACATGGACCATCTATGAGGTTTTTAAACCACGGGGACTAAACTTCAGATTTTGGGAAACCACAGGGACCATTTATGATGTTATATATATATATATATATATATATATATATATATATATATATATATATATATATATATATATATATATATATATATATATGGTTAAGTTCATTTGAGACCAGTGAAATTTTATGAGACAAGGGGACTCGTCCGTGGCAAAAGGATGCCAAAAAAAAATTAAAAAAGGAAAAAAAAATTAATATTTTTTTGAAACTTTTTGCTTAAAAAACTAAAAATAATAATAATAAAATCTCGATCCATATATAATATTTTAACATCATATGTGTAGAATATTACTTATTAAAATTTATCATGTATAATATTATATTAGAATATTACACATACATAATATATTTGTATGAGTAATATTCTACACATATAATGTTAGAAAATTAAGAATAGACAATGATTTTTTTATTTTATTTTATTTAAATAAAAAGTTTTGAAAAATATAATTAAATATATATATAGTAACGAATCAAAACACACCTCCCCTATAAAATGAAGATCAACCAAAGGCAAGTAATCACATTACCATTATGTTCCTATATGGCAAACAAACGTAATATTTTCATTCCACCCTACTACTTCATTCTATTCCATCTTCGATTAGTGCACACCAAACACTAACTTATGCTTACCAATTGGTTTTTCAATGATATTCATAGTCATATTGTATGCATTCCCAAGCGAATACTTGAATCCTTCAAGTGTAGAGCTCAAGTTTTTCAAAAGGGATTCAAGTGGTGTATAGAACGCAATAGCCAAGTCGTTGGGCTCCTTTGCACAATCACCAACGGGAGAGAATGAACGGGCAATTGGACAACATCCAATTGGTGGAACACTTATTACTCCAAACTTTCTTGCCCCTAGACTATATAAGTTCTGTTATTTTAAAAATGAAATAATATAACATGAGTAAAAAGTAAAATTAAAATCTGGAGATGATTTTTGACAAATATCATGGAACCTTTAGATGAATGGCATATGTGGCTGTAAGGTTGGCGATGAAAAGCTCGGGAGTTACAGGATGAGTGAATATGTAGGACATGATGTCGTTACTTCCAATACTCATGATGTACATTGAACCTTGAAGCAAAAGTTGACCATTTGACTCACCTAGTATTGCGGTCATGTTGCCTTTAATAGTTGCAAATTGTTGGATTTGCTCTTCCAAAGATACAACTACCCCCTGTATTAGCATCGTACTTTTGTCATGGACATCAAATAGTAGTTGTAAACAACGCCCAAAGGAAAATATATGATAGAACAAGACACCTTGTATTGTGTTTGGTATGCATTAGAATGAGATTGATCGATATTAATAGGATAAAATTTTCAATTTTCTTAAGAACCCACTAATAGTTGTATTCCCTATTAATAGAGGAAAGACTTACGTAAGGATCTTTCCCTGTTTCTTTATCAAGGCCACAACCTCCCGAAGCAAAGTTCACCCCATGAAGAATTTTTCCGGTAAAGTTGGAACTATTTTTAAGGAGTGCAAGAAATGGAGGCGGACTATGTTTGTAGCCACCCAAAAGTGTTACTGCACATTCAAGTAATAATTATCTTGAATTTGCATATTAATAAGTTCTATAAGAAAATGTGAAAAATATCCTCTACACGGCCCACACCAAACCTGTTCCAAGGCCCATCATGTGGGGGGTAAATTTTAGAGCACACCAACAATATTATTGAGTGAGCCAGATTGCAACTCAACCGCTAGGCGGCACCTATAGCATTTAGGTGCACATACCAACAATATTATTGGGTGTGCCCGATTTCTCTTGGATTTGTTGTTATCACAACTTTTAATCACTTTTTGACAAGAAAGATATATCCACACCCTTATAAGTAGACCTGGCAAAACATGACACGACACGAAAACCCGACACGAAATTAGCGGGTTAGGGTTAGAGATTTCGACACGTTTATGTAAACGGGTTGACACGGCACGACACGATAATTAAACGGGTAGGGTTAGGGTCAAGAGTTTCAACTCGAAGATGACTCGAATATGACCCGTTTAATTATATATTATTTATTTTTAAATTTTGTATTTTTATAAATATATTATATGTTATAGACTTATAGTCGGTCAAACTCAAGAATTAGAAGTAATATTCAAATTTTTAAAGTTATTTAATTTTAGTCATCCTCACCACCTATCCCTTTGCTCCCCAACTTTAACTCTTTTCATTTTCCCTTCTAAACTTACTATAAATTTTGTCATTCCATCTCATAACTCGAGTGTTTCACTTTTTCCTTTTTGCCTCCACAACTCCTACTTTCCAACCTTTAAAATATTTCAACCCAACATGACACAACATATTTACAAGGTCTAAACCTTAACCCGAAACCCGACACGAAAATAAACGGGTTGACACGATACGACACGATTATTAAACGGGTCGGGTTAGGGTCAAGCCCTTTCAACCCGTTTAATGTCTTGACACAACACGACACGAACCCGACACGACACGACACGTTTGTCAGGTATACTTATAAGGAATGATTTGTTTTCACCTTCGACTAATGTAAGACTGGTTTGTACTATATATAGAAATTGATTATGTACCAATAGTGTCAGCAGCGTTTTGTCCATTGCTAAACCTTCCAGTTGGTTTCGACTGTAGATAATCGATCCCATAATATGGGTGATTGGCTCTTGCGGTGCAGTTTTTGAGGTGGTTGTTTGTGCCAACATCCACTGTTGAATCACCAAATATGAAAACGGGCTGCATGGGTTTACTCGCTGCCTTTTTTGTGGCTATTGTTGACACACTAAATAGGACTAGGCATATAGTGAGTAGCACTGCTTTTTGAATTGTTAATGGCTTCATAGCCATGTTGATTTGGTTAGTTTGTGAGAGAAGAGGGCAAGTACTTGTAGGAGATGGGGCCTTTTGGATCTAGAATGTACAAGAGGAAAAGTTTGAGATTAATGAAAGTATAATCCTTGGCTTACATCAATTACTATGATCGTCATCCTAGTTTATGACCAAAATATACCATGAAAAATGTGATTCTCGTTTTAGTATTATTATTATTTTTATTTGTAATATAATGGGATTTGGGATATATTGCGTTTGGTTTTATAGACTTGAACTTGCAGAAGTTCGGATTGGTCCTGGGTAAAAACAGCTTGATTTTTGGCTGATTATTAATGGTAGTGTTTTCCACCTAAACCATAAACTTAATACACAATGCAAGTAATTTACAACTTTTTAAGACATAAGTTTATGTAATTCTTATAATATTATTTTGGAGAATGATTCTTTAATTTGCAGAAAAATAAACTTGGTAATATAAGTAGTGCTCAAAACAGAGCCACAGGTGCATACGAAGAAGTTGCGGAAAAGTTGCAACAAAACTGTTAGTTAATTAATGTAAAACTACACATTTTTCTTTAACTTTAATTGCTTTGCTGACTATCTAATTTGAAAAGTTACAATAAAAAGAGTATACTTCCTACTCAGGCCATTATCATGTGGTGCATCATGCATGCTAACGAGTTGATAGAAGTAGCGGTAGTCCATAGGGGCTTAATCACGATTTTTGGAACAGCTAACCAAAAAAAAGTAGTTTTATTTGATAATATTGTCTTCTTTTGGCATTTCAAAAAAGCACTAAATTGAAATTAATATGGTTGGTTAACTAAAAAAAACTTATTATTGCTATTTTCTCCTTATAATGGTACCTAGTATCTTTTCAGTGCATTGAAATAATAAGTTGTAACAAAATTCATGGTTATTTCACAAAATGGTTAAGGTCAAAATTAATTAGACACTAAACTATTGAATTTGTCTCAATTTAGTCACTAAACTTTGTTTAAGTTGTGAAATATCACTTGACCTGTTATTTTTAATTCATAGTGATCCTTAAGAATGGTGACAACAACTCGGTAACAATTTTGAATAAAAAATAAAAAGGTTAGTGACTTTTTACAACTTATATATTAGTACAAATTCAATTGTATAACTATAACAATTCATATACAAGATTCAAAGTCGTTTTCTTTTTAAATATATAAATTATAAAATATAGAAATATGATCATCTTTATAACTATTTTACTTCTCATTTAAACATAATTCACAAATCCTGTAAAAGAAATACAACTTTTTACTAATATATAAGAAATTAATTATAGTGAACCTCAAAAATTATATCTACATCAATATATGAAACTATCTTGCATTTTGACCACCCAATTGGCAATTTGGCATCGAAGTACAACTTTTAACCAATCACACTTCCAAAATTAGTATTCACGATTCATCATCACCTCAAACCTAATAAACCAACACAAAATAATCCATTCTTCACACTTCATCACATTTTTATTAACTTTAATCGTACATTTTTGCTATTAAATAGTTAATGTTTTGTTTAATTAGATATGTCAATGTTATGTGTACATGTTAAACCAATGTGATCCCTAACGATCTACGTGATTGCAGTATATGAAAATAATTAAAACAAGGTAAACAAAGGAAAAGGGGTTAATGTTGAAATTAGATACTAAACTATTGAATTTGTGATTATTTGATCACCAAACTTTGTTTAAGTTGTGAAAGGTTATTAAACTTTTTTTTATTCAGGGTGGTCCTTATGCCCAATGATAACATTTTTAGTAACCACTTTGAATAAAAAAATAACAAACTCGATACTTTTTTACAACTTAAACAAAGTTTAATGACTAAATAAGCACAAATCATATTTGGTGCTTAATTTCAATATGAACCCCTTAGGGAGTTTAGGACTTAAATAAGTCACACTTGATATATTTTTTTATTACAATTTAACCATCGAAACCTGTTATTGTATGTGGTTATCTGGAAATGAAGCTCAATTGCAAATAATAACCGATTCTAATGGTAAAATTGCAAAATAAATAAATAAATAAGACAACAGATGTGATTTTTTGTCAATAGAGTCTAACATATAGGAACTTTTATGCGGATTTTCCTTTTCTTTAATCACTAAATGAGCTGCTACAAAAACTTAAAAAGATTGTGAAATGTTTCTTTTACGAAATTGAGTTTTTTGGACAGAATTTGGTTTTGTTTTATAATTCTGGTGGGGACCCTTCATAAAAGGTATTGAAAAATAAAAATAATTTTACAAAATAGATGTTTGTTCTTTGATAAAATTTCAAAATGTGATTGTTTGATATTATAACACTTTCCATTTTTGTCATTTTAGTGATTAACCCTGTTTTTTTTTTTTTTTTTTATAACTTTCATCATTTTGTTATAAATGACCATCTAAATTTGACTCTTAAGAGCACACCCCAAACATAAGACCTCACTGATAGTTTCCAAAAATATATTAGAGAAGCTATAGATCTACAACAGGTGGTTCATCTAAAACCATTACTTAAGAAGAAAAACGTATAAATTCAATCTCTCATTTCCATTTCGTACATTCAAACTGAAGTTGTTTCCGTGGCTTCACTGTTTGTAGCACGATAAGGAAAAGAAAATGCGCAACTACATACAACTATACAAACCCATCTACCAATTCCTTTCCTTTCCTTACCAACTACATATTACACAAAATCTATATACACCACAACAACATGCCAAAAGATTCTCCTTCAACCTTACAAAACCCAACCACTATCGCAAAGCTTCTATGCTTTAACTTCTGAGAATCTACTAGTTCATGTTCATTCCTTGATTCGAGGACATTCTCATTGATTTATCTTCACATGTTACAAGATTCATCTATGTTGTTGAACAACTAAAACTGAACCACTGATATCGAATTCACTAGAAGCCAAAAAATCACCAACTACACCAAGCTCCGGACATTCTTCCCAGTCACTAATTCCCGTAGTTAAAAGCGAGTCACCTCTCCCACCTTTCCCCACCACAAACATCGAGTATGTCTCTGCCATGTCCCTCAATATCATCCCTGTTTGTACCCCATTTTCCACATACTTCTCAACAAATCTCACCTTCCCAGATGTTACATACCTGAAAAGTGTAAATAAAAAAACAAGGTTGGACCAAATTCGTGATAAAATTTGAAGTTTTGACCAAATTTATAACAAGATTTAAATCTTAGCTAAAAGTGTAAATATAAAAAATGACCTGTTAATCCTTATTTTATCATATCATACCTATGATAAAAATTGGCTAAAGCAGAACTATCCGCCTCCTCAACCTCCGATTCATTATCAATCGCCACCAAAACATTATCTTCCTTCAGGGAAACATCAATTCCAACATTAGGATCTTTAGCAGATGTCGGCAAAAACCTAACAATCGTAAGACTCGTATGATGATGTGTACTAAGCCGTTTACTAAACCCCAACGCCTCCCGATCATCGGGTCCACCAAAAAACAAAGTCGCAATCTGCTGTAACGATTCAGACCCCGCAGCTTGTGTCCCTGTAGTCGTATGCCCCCTATCCACCAAAATCGCAACCGAACACTGAGCGTTTCTCAACACTTTCTGATTCGTAGTCCGAATTCCATCCTTATCTTTCTCAAATTTCCCATCGATTCTTTGATGTTTATGAAACGGAAGAACAATAAACGAAGCCCTAATATCATCAGCGAAATCACAAACATCTTCATACATACTCATAAAAGGCGAGACTGTTTGGACTTGATGAATCATCATATTTGTTTCTTCAATGAAGATGTCAACAGCTTCGTTTATTTCCACGACGTCGTTTTTATTATAGTTGTACTCTTCATCATCACTGGATTCATCGTCTTGTAATTGTTCGTATGATGCTGAAGGTTTTTTAATCTTTTCTGGAAGCTCGATTAAGTGCATTAAGTAGGGGGAAATTGGGACGTTGTCGGATCCTCTTAGGGATACGATGAGGCGTACCATGGTGTTCACAGGGTGGCGACTGTGAACACATGCGAGGAGTTTTAGTTCTTTATCGGGTCTGTGATATTCCATTGGTATGTGTTTGATGCCAATTGTGTCGCTTTCTCTTCTTACTAAGAACCCTATTAAGGCTGCTGAGATTACGGAACTAATTACCACTGCTGAAACCATTAAGTTGTAAAATATCGAACTTGTCAACACCTGTTTTAACACAAAAAAGAACAAATTAGGTTGCTAAACAGAAGTACTGCATCAAGATAATGAGGGAAGAAGGACTTACTTTATTTTGCATAGCTGTTGTCAAGGTTAAAATATCCACATGCCCTTTCATGTTCATTAAAACAGCAAGAAGGACTCCTTCGTTTAAGGGCGTCTTCAAATACTTACATGCAGCAAGAGTACCAAAGATCTTTCCACCAATACTCAACACGATAACCATAAGAACAATCGCGACTCTTTTCAGTTCATTTAAATAACTTGTATCTGCTTTAAACCCAGTGTACCCAAAGTAAATCGGGAAGATAAAGTTATGAACTGTATATGTAAGAATAGCCAACAATGTTCTTGCTGATTTCCCACCCCTTGGGAACATCGACCCCATGAGGAAACAAGCTATTAAGCTGCTAAATCCCATAGTTTCAAAAGTCATGGCTGCAACAAGAACGACTGAACAAATCAACATTACTTCAACAGCTTGAAGGTTTTTATGGTTCCTGTTTCTGCGATTCAACCAGTTAACTAAATGTGTGGTGAAAATGATAATACCCACAAGAAGTAACAGTGAACAAAACGCCATTAATGTCCATCCGTTAACTGTTCGTTTATGTTTCTCACCGGAGATTATAACCAAAATAAACACAGCGTACATGTCACCGATTAAAGAAGAAGATATAGCGAGTCTGCCAATATCAGATGTTGCAAACTTCAAATCAGCTGCTAATCGGAAAACAATGGGGGACGCTGTGTTGGCTAAGATCACAGTGATGACTAGAGCT